TGCTTGTGCGGAGAAGTGAGGATAAGTGAACGCTTTGAAGAGGCCTCTCGGACAGACTCAATGCCAATGCGTCTGTGCCCCCCGGGTGAGCTTTTGCTCTCTGACGGCCTCAGTGCAGAGCGCTGCCTCGGACGCAGCACGCGCTTCTGAGAATGGAGAAACCTGAGAGTCTGCATGTCTCACTCTCGCCAAAATCACGATAACACAAGAACCGACAGTTGCAGATCAAGACATTCGGATGCCAAGCCCAGCACAGATTCTTTTTCTGGGTTTATAGGGTTATGCCTTGTGGATCATCCAAGCATGCTTGCCGCTGCCTCAAAATGAGTGGGAGGAGCACACACTGGGGAGTAGGCGATTTTTAAGCGGACTCGGTGGGACGGCCCCCCTGACCTTGTCCACTGCTTCTTCGAGCCAAGCGGCAACAGAAGCTGGCTCAGTGTCCACACACACAGTCAGGACAACAGCTCTCATGTGCTCAGCAACATGCTTTGAAACGTGTTTCAACCATCCCTGCTGTAGAATTCACATCACTGCATCTTGCCCACTCCTCTACAACCATCTGCTCCTCTTCCCTGCTCGGCCTGGTTGGCAGCTGAAGGAGGATAATGAAGGTAGAGTGCTCTGACTCTTCACGGCGACTTACGGCCCTGGCTCTTCATCCGTGCCCAGGCTGTCCTAGTCGCCCAGAAGCTCACAGGCTCAGGCTCGGGTCTCCAACACGCATCTTGCAGGGTCCATGAGGCCCTCCACGGTGTCTTTGAGAGCACCCTTCCATCCGAAAGGATCGAAGGCCTCTGAAGCCCACAGCTGTTGCATCGAGCATGGGTCACCGAAACATGATTCCCTGCGCTTGTGCCTCTGCATATCTCACCACTCGGCCACGACCACCAGCCTTGCAGGCAAACACGGACAAAGAAGCCTTGCAAGTGCCAATGTCGTTCTGCGCTGTGCCGAACTTTCATGCAAGGGCAGATGGCAAAACTCTGCCCAGTTTCCGTCTAATGACACACATGATAAGGTCTCGCCGAAGCCTCTCATTCAAGCAACGTTCGACCATGATGGCTACTGATCCTCTCCCTAGTTCCAGATGACGGAACATGCGACCTCCTCTGCAAACAGCAGCTGAGCAGGACCGCTGCACCAACCCAACCCCACCTGCATGTGGCCTGCCGCAGGCAAAACATGTCTGGGCCTCGGGTAAAGTCGGGCATTCTGTGACGATCTTGCAACTTGCTGTCTTCGCTTAGAAACTTATTGCCTCAGAACTTCAGCCTGACCCCTAACCCTAGGGCCCTAAGCTCTGCACAGTCTTGAGGTGAAGGCCGTCTCCTGAAACCACAGGTCGACTTGACAATTCGGTCATTTTAAAGATACCAAGGACACGCCCGTCCTGGAGAAGGCTAAGTGTCAGGGCGGCTGCGCAACCTCAGCTGGTGGCATATGGAGTACAGCGACCTACTCCCATTACCAGCTCTGAGTCTTTCACCGAGCCCCCAAAGCCGGGGCCTCAATCTTCAATGATGAAAATCCAACTCTTCAGAAAGGACCCTGGCGGGGCGGACCTGACCATGCTCTTGTGCATGACCGGCAGCTTCCCTCGGGCCAATAGGGGACTTCGTCAGCGAAACAAGCTAACCTGCTAAACCCACAACACCAGCCTCGCCGTCGCGGCCGCGACGCGTGAGACCACGAAGCTCGAGCCAACGCATGGGCCAGGCGGCCAGGTCAGGTAGGAAGCTCTGGAACACTGAAGACGAAGGAGCGAAGGAGCATGAAGGAGCAGAGCAGAAGACCAGGAAAGGAGAGCAGTCGGGGCTACACAGCCAACTTGCAGCCTGCGGGGTCCTTCCAGGCCTGGGTCGCCTTCTGCTGCTCTCCGAGGCAAACAAGCTGCGAATACCTGCAGAAGCAACGGGATTCATGGCGCCCCGGCTCACTTTAAAACAACTTGGGCTATTCGCACGGGGCCCAAACAGTGGGAGTCCCTCAACTTGGCACATGGCTCCGCCAAGCTCTCGAAGGAGGCTACTGCGAATCTCCAGTATCTTGACCTTGGAAGAAAAAAGCGCCAACTTGCCCCCCAAAGACTGCAGAAACCAAGTAGGTCCTGACCAGGCATTGTGGAGCTGCTGGATGCTATCCAAGAAAGCCACCTCGAGAAGGCGGCTATTGTCCCCTTTCTGGAGGGTAGGTCATGGCCCTGGCCTTCCTAGTCAGCTCCTCACAGGTATCAAAGTGCGTAGCTCCACAAGGGCATCTCGAAATCTTCTCTTATACAGAAGATGTTCTGAGAAAAGTCATTACACCTACGCCGTTTCTCGGAGACGCCCGACTAGCTTGTAAACGTTCGCCACTTGCGAAGCTCATGATCATGAAGGCAATCGAATGCGCAAGCGAGGGATTCCTGAGCCTGCCCTCCCAAGAGCGGTCGCGCCTGCATCTCCCTGCCAAAGGCCACGTCGCCGTCATGCCTTACCTGCTTACATACGCAAGTCAGCTGACTTGCTCAGGCTGATATGATTCATTTGGTGCCTGCCTCCATGGGAAAGCGTTCAGTGTGCAGCTTGGCGAGGGTCTGCGAGCAATCGGGTGGCCAACCACTTCAAAAGACGCAGCAACTCACGGCCGGTCATCATAGCACGTATTTAAATGAGTCTGGAAGCCTCCAAAGCACAGATGGCCAAGGCAAAGCCGTCCAAATGCCTGGAGTACCTGAACGGCGAACAGTGACGCCTTGATGACACCGTCAAGCCGCGGCCACTGCAAGCCATTTCAATCCCAAGCCCGGGGCTGCATTTCCAGGCTCCCGTCCAGGGCCTGGCTTTTTGGCGCCAGCGTCTGGATTTCTTAGCGGCTTCGCTGGGAGCCTGCGCTCCGTGAAGGAATCGAACCCACGAGGCTGGCCCCCAGTACCTCAAGAGCCAAGCGGCCAAACTTTGACCACATGGACTCACATGCAAGAGAGAGAGCTTGTCCCATGCCGCGGGCTTCCGGCCTCGCATCTCCAGTCGGGTTCTCGTAGTTCCAGGAGCCCTGAGATCTACTGAAGGGCAGACGAGACGACGAGACCCCATCGCTTTTTCGAGCCCAGGATGTCAGGAGGCGCCTCCGCCCCAGAGCCGCTGCTCCAGGCACCGAAGTCGATGCTGGAGCCAAAGTCCAGCAAGGTGAACTCAAGGAGCCAAAGTGTCTCTTCATTCTCCCCCTTTCCAACTGCAAAATGGGCCTCCAAAGTCGAGGCCTCAGAGGGTGCCACGCCGGCCTTTCAGGTTGAGACGGAGAACTCCCAGACACTCGCGGAGTTTGGGCAATGGCAAACAACCCGACACTGTTCTCATCGCCTTGCCAGGTCCAGGTCGAACTTCAGAGCAGGCGATTAGAAGGTTCCTGCACAGAACGTCTGGACCGTCTGGTCCACCAGGGACAGAAATCTGCCAGGCTAACTTGGTGTTGATGTGCGAAGGATATCTCCGGCCTTGCATTTACGTCACGGTGCATAGCGATGCGGCCTGCATCTCAACGCTCGAACATTCAAGCTTCCAAAGAAAAGTCACCGTCACAGTACAGCTGTGAGGGGATAAATTCGCTGCTGCAGCGTGCTCGCAAGCTTCTTATCATACTGCCTTTCGCAGGCATGACGACCATTTTCGCACCAAGAAAAGCACATGGATCCTCTAAGCAAGCTTCATGCCTCCTATGTTTGCCCTTGGGAGTCGGTCCCCCAAAATGGATCCCAGAATCCCAGAGAAGCTCGGCCGGGCACCGTTCAATTCGCGGAAAGTCGGTGCAAGTTGGCGGAGCAGCTCCTCCGTCTTCGAGTGCTTCGCAAAACAACCGGAGGGCTTAGGGTTTGGGATTTGATGAGCTCTGCTTTACTGTCCCTGGCAGCGGCTGCCGCATGCAGGAACGAAGTACAGTACCTGCGAATCGCAGAACACTCTCGAACGCATTTCCGTTCCGTATCGGAAAAGTACTGAGCTGAGGCCGCGACTGCGAAGGAGAACTGGGAACCCTGGCATCCTCCACAAGAAGCTCGCGCTCCTGGGAGTGGATTGCACCGATGCGCAAGTTACCCTGTTATCGCCTGTTCAAGGTTCCCAACGAATGCTTAGCCATCGGCCTCAAGCCATGAGATCAGGGCTTGGCCGTTGCGCCGTGTCATGACGACCTTGCGCAGCAGCCGACATGTTGGAGACATCTGTGGACACGACACATTTTAATCCTGCGTTGCAGCGGCTGGGACAGGCACACGGCAGAGGAATGCACCAGGTTCTGCAGGTGATAGATCCCAAATCCTGCCCATCAGAACACGTAGCATCCGCTAGATGACGACAAAAGGATGGCAGTGCTGGGTGCCAAGCTGGTGGTCGAGAAGACTCGGAACACGCAACCCACCTGTGACAAAAGTGACAAAAGCATCTGCAAACCCAACACTTTGATAGACGGTCTTCAGCGCATGACCACTATCTGATGCATTCGTCAGCTGCCGCATGACCTCAGTGCTGTCAGAATCAACATGACTTGAACAGACTGGAGTGTGGTCCACCCGAGCCTTCACCTCGAACATTGCCCTTTGTACGCTCGCATCCGGAAGTATTCCAGCTCCTTGTCCACAACGCATCTCTTTCACAGCGACCTGAACCAAGAGCCCAAAGGACATACAGGGACATGCTCGCAAATTGTCGGACCTCCTCTCCAGTATCCTGGCTGACGGCCGAGTAGACCTTGTAAAGCAAGGCTTAAGCAGGAAAGTTCGCAGAGACGCAGCTGAGATGATGACCCGGGCATATGCACCCTCACCGATTGCCTGCCCAAGCATGGCACAGCATCTTCCTGGTTGCAGAGCAAAGCCGTCAGATTCTAGGCCTCTCCAATCCTAAGCTTCATCTTTCCGACGGCGATCACCTGAACAGCGCACCAACAATAAAGCCCTCCTCGCGAAACTGTGTAAGTGCATGCATCCCGCCTGCCCACTCACCATCGGAAGTGGCTCGCAGGGGAGCTGCGGCGGCTGCCATTTGAGCTCCTGGCGAAACTGGGAAACTCGCGCCAAACTTTGACCAAGGCCCCCCCAAGCTGGCGAAGTTCTTCCGCAGCGTTGCAATTAATGACCAAGGCCATGTCCCGGTCGTGCAGCTTCTCTCATGTTACACTGGCAAGAGCCTTTTTTTGCGTGTTCCCGGCTGGCGGGCTGACTTTCGGAGCCGACAGGGCGCAGAACGCTGGAGAGGCCAAGCCGGGTCCCATGCAGGCGCTCAGCTCAGCGCAACCAAACCATGTCCAGGGGTCCACAGCCAGCAACTCTGCCCCTGCCAGAACTCCCACGGCCCACGGCTTCACCACGAGACGTAAGGAGGACGTCAGCTCGAAATAGTTCCAGGTCAGAAGCGGGATCGCCTCCAAATGGCCACGAGTCCGATCGCAAATATCGGCACCGCCACATGTAAGCCAAGCGTGCTGAGATGCATCCCGGTGCGGCTTGATGAACTTACTACCTCGGCAACTCTATGAATCTATGGACAAGAAGTCCTGGTGCGCAGGCAACGACTGTAGTTGTCAAGGCGCTCGCTGCTGGAGTTTCCCCAACTTCTCCGCAGCATCAGGTAGTTCAGCAACTTGCAATGCGCGAATCAAGGCATCGGGATCGTCCGACACCGAGACCATCTTCAAGGATTTCATGGACAGGAATCCTGCGACACACAGCTCTCGTCCGGATGTCTTGCCGCAAGTCGGAACCACGACTCTTTCAGGTTTCCGTGCGACAACTCCGAACATGTCCTAACGTTATAACGTTATTGCGATCTCGGAAAACAACCACGCTTTCCGATCTCAGTACTCTTGCCAAAAACGTCGACTTGCTACTGCATGTCCTCACGAGTGTCCTGCACATCAGCAGAGATTTTCAGTGATGTTACATGATTTTACACTGTTCGCTAGTACTATCTTTGCTCTTCTGTTGCAGACCGGCCCCGTTTTCGCGCGCATTCCCCGAAGCCTCGGGCTTGAAGTAAAGCTCACAACGGGCTTGGTTTTGGTTTCAGCACTGCAAAGCAGCATTCTACGGAGAACAAAGCGAATTGAAAGGGCTTGGCGACTGCATGGGAAACGAAGTTCCAATAGTATCGGGAGTGTCGACAATCGAAGCGATCAAACCCAGTGCTCCCAAGTAAGAGTCCGAGTTCAGAGCAGCAGAACCCAAACATGCAGCAACCAGACAGCCAGACAAAGTATCTCAGTCTGTCGCCGTTTGTCCTGCTTCATGTGCATGCTCCGCCCATCTCAGCACATGGTCCCAGAAGCCCCACTTGTTCAGCAACCCGACTGGCTTCAGGTGAATGTTCAGCCTGAGCTGGAAATGCTGTTTGAGGTTAGGCCCCGTCCAACCCCGCTGCATCTGACCTAACGCAGAAGGGGCTTGTTGCCGGGTGCCCATTCAAAAGGCCAGGCAAAGGGCCGGCCTTCATTGCATCGTGCCGGGTCATTCTGCTTCAACCACAACATCATCACCATCAGTGCGCTCATCGTCATCATCATCATCACCATCATCGTCATAACCGTCATAAGCCTCACGGATGTCAGCAGCAACAACAACAACAACAACGGCAACGGCAACGGCAACGGCAACGGCAACGGCAACGGCAACGGCAACAGCAACAGCAACAGCAACAGCAACAGCAACAGCAGCAGCACCAGCAGCAGCGTAACCTTTGATATCACCGCAATCGCAATTGCTACCATCATCAACATCATCACCACCACCATCAGCGCCATCACTATCATCATCATCACCATCATCATCATCATTATCATCATCGTCATCCTCATCGTCATCGTCATCGCCATCATCAGCATCATCATCATCATCATCAGAATCATCATCATCATCAGAATCATCTTCATCCTCATCAGCAATATCACCCTCTTCAACACTATTCTCCTCATCAGCATCACAACCACAATCAACATCATTAGCAGCATCATCAATCACTCTCCTTCTTTGCATCCACATCATCACAATGTCACCATCGTCATCAGTTTAGGGTTTAGGGTTTAGGGTTTAGGGTTTAGGGTTTAGGGTTTAGGGTTTAGGGTTTAGGGTTTAGGGTTTAGGGTTCATCATCATCATCATCCGTTGATTCCCAGCCTCATCATCAATATCATCTTCATCCTCGAGATCTACATCTTCATCGGCATCGTTATCTTCAGCGTCGAGAGGTAGAGACAGAATGTTGCACGCAGAAACGATGGAAACGTTCTGACCCCAACCAACTCCATGCGAAGACTCTCTACTCCCCGAGCTGCAAACCAAGTAACGGCGTACATGTCGAAGGAAGAAGCCACGTATGTGATTCAAATGTCCCCAACATGTGCACGTGTTCTTACGCAACAACGAAGAAAGAAACGACTGAGGCGAGGTTGGCTATCTACAAAAGCGTAGCAAAGTTCATCCCCTGTCACTTCCTTGACACAAAGCGCAGCCAGTCCAGGATAACCCGTCTCGGCTGTTAGGTTTGAACCAAGACGCTGTGTCCATGTGACAACTTCGCTAAACTCCTCCAGAGTTCCCCATCCTCCTGGAAGAGCGATGAACGCATCTGCCAGCTCGGCCATCATGGCTTTCCTGACTGGATGTCGGCTTCGAATGAAGTGTCCATTGACTCTTTCAAAAGAAGCAGATCTCCAGCACTTGGGTTTCTCCTGTGATGCATGGACTCCACCACTCTCAAAGAAGTGCAACCAGTGTGTGCCACTTCCTTTTCCACCAGATTCCTGGCAACAGTTGAAGTAGAGTTGGGCCGCAAAGTCGCTACAGGTCTAGTGAGTCTAGTCTCATTGCCAACAGATCTTCTCCTGATGTTGATCAACCCCTGCCTTGGAATCACACCGATAACGTCAGCACCCTGCGCCAATGCTGCATCTGCTAAGGCCCCCATCATGCCCGCTTTACCACCACCAAAGACCACCCCAATACCATGTCGCGCCAAGGCTGTTCCCAGGTCAGCAGCGCTCTTGAGGTACCTCTGCGGTTATGTCCGACTTAATAGTGCTAACACAAGAGAACCTCCAAAGCCAGGCTTGCAGGGAATACAGAAAAAATAGGGAAATAGGAAACTAGAGGTAAAATTGTAATGAAATAGATAAGCATAGTGGAAAATAGTAATGAAATAAGGGAAGACAGGAATAAAGCAGAGAAAGAATAAGCATAAACTTGGGAAAATAGAAATAACATGAGACAAACAGGAACATGACATGGAAAACATAGGAAATGTAGGGAAAACAGCACAGTAGGCAAAACATGCAAAAAAAAGCCCACAGAGTAGAAGGGAGAACGGGAAGAGCGGGTTTAGGGGTTCTATTTTTTGCCATGTTTCTCCGATTGCTCTCCTTTTGTTCTTTTTTCCCGAAGAACAAGGATTCCTATGTTTCTCCTATGTTTTTCCTATGTTTATCCTATTTTGTGCCACTCGCGAACTGACTAGAGTTAGCACAACAGTCAGACATAACTCTACGGAAGCAGCAACAGGCGAGATGTCCCACCATGCAGCCTATGATTACGAGGCAGACCAAGATTTCAGTAGCCATCGGCAGGAAGCAAGGTGCGCTTCATCGACCTGCGCGCTGCTGCCACCATAGACACAGATCCGGCGAAAGCTGCGCTTGTCCTGAACTTTGCAAGAAGCAGTATGTATATATAAGAATAATAATAATTATTATAATAATATATATATATATATTATTAATAATAA